ATAAATGTAAAGCACTAATAAAATGTATAAATGAACATTTAACAACACACTTACCTTTATTGAAGACACTTGTTGGTGTATGGCAGAGGGAGGGGAGTTGAGTTTGTTGTTGGAGAATATGACACTAATATCAACTTTACAGCTTATTTATCTATCACAATTCAACTAATATGACGTAATAAACAATATTAATAACATAGAAACATGGACTATACTCTAGAATGAATAAGTCATTATGTACATCACGACTGGTGTTGTGTTGTTGTTGGGTGTACAAAGGCCACTGAGAGCATAAGCCATCCATAATGGTGGTGAAGGCTGCAGCTGAGGCAGCGGTGTTTTCTGTAGCCCTATATAACTCCAACATCATTGGAGTAGTAGAATCCCTGAATCACTGAAGAAGGCACCCTCTACCACCATCACAACCACTACCACCATCAAAATCGCAACGACCCTCTACCACCATCTCTACCACTATCACAACTGCTACCACCATCACTACCACCTTCTACCACTGCCACTTTCATATTTTTCTACAAACTTTTCTTAAATTATATCGCATTTCTCACATTCTTTACCGAAGGGCTGGCACTAGAAGCTTTCTTTGGAGCTGTGGTGGCTTATTTAGCAGTTGCAGGCACTAAAACGAATGGAATAAAATAAAATGTATTATATGAACTTGTGGGATCGTCCTCATTTGCTGATAAACAATGGCACATTGGCTGGGAATGGAGTGTGGGGCCGCTCGAGGTGTGCATATGCGTCTGGGACGAATCACTATTTGCGAGTCAAATGATTCAAGAGTCAATGTTTTGATGAAAATCATGTTACCATTTTCGAAAATTACGACTTTTGATGCTCACAAAAAAACAAGGGACCACTGTATATATATGTATATATACATTTAATAGAAACATGAGAGTGGCACTCAATTATTCTCAGTCACAGTACCTCTGGTATTGATAACCTTAACAAGACATGCAGAGGTTTCAAAGAAATCAATTCCTCACATTTGAACAATAGAAACATAAGCAAAAAGACTACCTTTGTTGTGGGAATATTTCTAATAAATACTTCTAAAAGAATGAATAGTTTTAGACTTATAATACTGATACCAGTGTTCTCTTAATGCATTTATTTCACTACTGTTGTTCACTGAATATTACACTGATGTTGTTCACTGAATATTACACTGCTGTTGATCACTGAATATTTCACTACTGTTGTTCACTGAATATTACACTGCTGTTGTTCACTGAATATTACACTGCTGTTGTTCACTGAATATTACAGTACTATTGTTCAGTGAATATTACACTACTGTTGTTCAGTGAATAATACACTGCTGTTATTCACTGAATATTACACTAATGTTGCTCACTGAATAATACAGTGCTGTTGTTCACTGAATATAACACTACTGTTGTTCAGTGAATATTACACTACTGTTGTTCAGTGAATATAACACTACTGTTGTTCAGTGAATATAACACTACTGTTGTTCAGTGAATATAACACTACTGTTGTTCAGTGAATATAACACTACTGTTGTTCAGTGAATATAAAAAAGACCTGGAAAACCCTATCAGAAATTCTAGGAACAAAAAAGATATCACGAAATAGCGAAATAAAATTAGCAAAATCAGATGAACCCCAACTCCCACCAACAGAAACAGCAAACAGACTCAATGATTTCTTCTCCACTATAGGACAAACCTTGCAATAAAATCCCAAGCTCAGATACCCCACCAAATGACTACCTCACCGGCAACTACCCGAACACACTGTTCCTAGCTCCGACTAACCCATACGAAGTCTCCCTTATTATCAACACACTAAAAACAAGGCAGGAGATTTAAATACCTTACCACCCTTTATATACAAAAAAGTGTCACAAGTGCTATCACCAATCATTGCAACACTCTTTAAAAAATCCATTGAATCCTCCACCTCCCTACAGTACTCAAAATAGCAAGGGTCACCCCGATCCACAAAGGAGGAGACCAAACAGAGTTGAATAACTATAGGCCAATATCCAACTTACACCCTCTCTCAAAAATCTTCGAAAAATTAATTCATAAACGAATCTACTCCTACCTTATCTCCCAAAACATACTCAACCCCTGCCAATTTGGATTCAGGCCTAATAAAAATACTAATGATGCTATTATACACATGCTAGAACATATATACACTGCAATAGAGAAAAAAGAAGTCTCACTGGGGATCTTCATTGACTTACGTAAAGCTTTTGATACAGTTGACCATGACTTGCTCCACGTAAAATTGTCACACTATGGTATAAGAGGGCACTCCCTCAACTACCTCAAGTCAACCTCAGCAACAGAAGCCAATATGTGTATGCAAATGGGGCAAACTCCTCTGCACAACCAATTACAGTTGGTGTCCCACAGGGAAGTGTCCTTGGCCCTCTTCTTTCTCCTATACATAATGACCTACCAAATGCTTCGCAATTACTCAAACCCACACTATTTGCAGATGACACTACATACGTCTTCTCCCACCCGAGCCAGTCACGCTAGCCAATACTGTAAATACGAATTACAGAAAATATCTACCTGGATGAGAACTAACAAACTTACACTAAACATTGACAAAACCTACTTCATTCAGTTTGGTAACAGAGCTACAGATGCCCTCTTAACATAATGATAAACGGATCACCTATCACAAAGCTAACAGAGGGAAAATTCTTAGGAATCCACCTTGATAATAGACTCAAATTTCATACACATATACAACAAATTTCTAAAGAAAATTTCCAAGACTGTAGGCATACTATCGAAGATACGGTACTATGCTCCACATGTCAGCCCTCCTGGCCCTATATCACTCTCTTATTTACCCCTATCTCACCTATGGAATTTGTGCATGGGGCTCAACAACAAGTAACCATCTCAGACCACTAATTACCCAACAAAAGGCTGCAGTTAGAATGATAACAAATTCTCACTATAGGCAGCACACTCCACCAATATTCAATACACTAAACCTCCTCACCATACAAAACATCCATACTTACTACTGCACCTATTACATACATAGAACACTTAACTCTGATATTAACCCTCCCTCAAACATCTCCTTGCCAACCTCAACAGAACACATGACCATAACACAAGGCACAGATCACTCTTTGATTTCCTCGTGTCCATCTCACACTATGTAAAAACTCAATGCACATAAAAGGCCCTAAAATCTGGAATTCATTACCTGTAAATGTAAAAGAAACACTACCTGTTTATAAATTCAAGTCTCTTCTCAAAGATCACTTACTCACCCAAAACCAAATAAATACTGAATAACTGAACCTTATAAATTGTATATCTTAAATGTTTCTCACAATTATATCACATAAATGTTAAACCTAAAACCCAATCTAACTTTAGTATTTTTTAAATACACTACCTAACAGAATACTCCATTCTACTGAATGTACAACAATGCATACAACCATATGACCTGTCTTTGTAATACTCACTTGTGCTTTATAGTAACCTGTTTACATTAATGTTTTATCACCTAACAGAATACTCCATTCTACTGAATGTACAACAATGCATACAACCATATGACCTGTCTTTGTAATACTCATTTGTGCTTTATAGTTATCTGTTTACAATAATGTTTTATCACTGATTTCATCATTGCTTAGTTAATCTTAAGTTAATTTTAAGCCAGCCCGTAATGCTATGCATAGTATAAGTGGCTTTGGCATGCTGCTCTTACCTGTATTTTTTGTACCTCTGTACGTGTGCTCAAATTTTTAAATAAATAAATAAATAAATAAATACTGTTGTTCACTGAATATCACACTACTGTTGTTCAGTGAATATAACCCTCCTGTTGTTTAGTGAATATAACACTAATGTTGTTCAGTGAATATTACACTACTGTTGTTCAGTGAATATAACACTACTGTTGTTTAGTGAATATAACACTACTGCTGTTCAGTGAATATTACACTACTGTTGTTCAGTGAATATAACACTACTGCTGTTCAGTGAATATTACACTACTGTTGTTCAGTGAATATAACACTACTGTTGTTCAGTGAATATTACACTACTGTTGTTCAGTGAATATAACACTACTGTTGTTTAGTGAATATAACACTAATGTTGTTCGGTGAATATTACACTAATGTTGTTCGGTGAATATTACACTACTGTTATTCAGTGAATATTTCACTGTAGAATTCTTGGTTACTGCAATAAGCAGATTACAGACTTGACCTTGTAGTATTTTCCATATATATTATTTGTATTCTATATTAGCTCTCATCTGTACACAAGACGGCTCTTTTTTTATAAAATATTTGAGATATTTTGAGCATTAATAGAACTTATCATCTCTATGAACTTCTTACATTATTTCAATGACTGACATTTCTTCAACATATTTCACACAACACTAATACTGTATTATCCCTTGTATATATTCTTATGTGTTTCTAACTAAAATATTCCTGATACATTAAACATTTAACATGTTTTATCTCCTGTATGTACTCGCATATGTTTGACAAGACTGCCTTTTACACTAAAACGTTTCAGACACTCGGAACACTGATATGGTTTATCTCCTGTATGTACTCGCATATGTGTCACAAGATGGCCTTTTACACTAAAACATTTCAGACACTCAGAGCACTGATATGGTTTATCTCCTGTATGTACTCGCATATGTTTCACAAGACCACCTTTTATACCAAAACATTTCAGACACTCAGAGCACTGATATGGTTTTATCTCCTGTATGTACTCGCATATGTCTCACAAGACTGCCTTTTTCACTAAACATTTCAGACACTCAGAGCACTGATATGGTTTATCTCCTGTATGTACTCGCATATGTTTTCAGAAGGCTGCCTTTTTCACTAAAACATTTCCGACACTCAGAGCAGTGATATGGTTTATATCCTGTTGTACTCGCATATGTCTCAGAAGACTGCCTTTTCACTAAAACATTTCAGACACTCAGAGCAGTGATATGGGTTTATCTCCTGTATGTACTCGCATATGGTTCACAAGATGGCCTTTTTCACTAAAACATTTCAGACACTCAGAGCACTGATACGGTTTGTCTCCTGTATGTACTCGCATATGTGTCACAAGATGGCCTCTTATACTAAAACATTTCAAACACTCAGAGCACTGATATGGTTTATCTCCTGTATGTACTCGCATATGTTTCACAAGACTGCCTCTTTCAGTAAAACATTTCAGGCACTCAGAGCACTGATAAGGCTTAGCTCCAGTATGCACTTGCATATGTTTCACAAGACTGCCTTTTACATTAAAACATTTCAGACACTCAGAGCACTGATATGGTTTATCTCCTGTATGTACTCGCATATGTGTCACAAGATTGCCTTGTCGATTAAAACATTTCAGACACTCAGAACACTGATATGGTTTATCTCCTGAATGTATTCGCATATGTGTCACAAGACTGCATTTTACACTAAAACATTTCAGACACTCAGAGCATTGATATGGTTTAGCACCTGTATGTACTCGCATGTGTCTCAGAAGACTGCCTTGTCGACTAAAACATTTCACACACAATGAACACTGATATGGTTTAGCTCCTGTATGTACTAGCATATGTCTCACTAGTTTGCCTTTTGCACCAAAACATTTAAGACACTTTGAGCACTGATATGGTTTAACTTCTGTATGTACTTGCATTTGTTCCAAAAGATTGGTTTTTTTATTACAATATTTGAGGCACTCTGAACAATGATCTAGTTTGTGTTCTTCATATTTTTTCACATTTTTCAAAAGAATGGAGTTCATTTTAAAATATTTTATTTATTTAACAGTGGTACAGTTTATCTTCTATATATATTCATATGTGTATATCAATTTCATTTAATTATTTTGGACATGGAATACAGTTTTCCATATAAAGTTTTTTGTGTGTGTTGATACATACCATAAACTTTTGTTTTGTGTGTTGAAACACTAATATGTGTTCTGGAACACTGCAGATATTGTGTGTTGAAACACTAATATGTGTTCTGGAACACTGCAGATATTGTGTGTTGAAACACTAATATGTGTACTGGAACACTGCAGATATTGTGTGTTGAAACACTAATATGTGTACTGGAACACTGCAGATATTGTGTGTTGAAACACTAATATGTGTACTGGAGCACTGCAGATATTGTGTGTTGAAACACTAATATGTGTACTGGAACACTGCAGATATTGTGTGTTGAAACACTAATATGTGTTCTGGAACACTGCAGATATTGTTCTGGAACACTGCAGATACACTCAACAACATTTTTAATATTTTCTCTTCTCTTTAAACAGATTTTTCTGAAAATTTTTAATTACAGTATTTACTAACTTGTATTTTTCTATAACTGCCATGCAACCTTTGGATAGACTTGCCAATATCAAAAGCAAAATGTTTAATTAGTAATACTTAAGAAGTTAAAAATTCACAAGATTATCAGGTGATGTTCTTCATGATGTACTGAAGATATAGTGTCTGGCAAGACACAACCTGGCAGTCTTCCACAAAAATACTTCTGCAGTATCAGCTGTTGTTTCAAGAACTTACACTGTGCTTCTTCAAGTACTGAAGATACAGTGTCTGGCAAGACACAACCTGGCAGTCTTCCACAAAATACTTCTGCAGTATCAGCTGTTGTTCAAGACACTTACACTGGTGCTTCTTCAAGTACTGAAGATACAGTGTCTGGCAAGACACAACCTGGCAGTCTTCCACAAAATACTTCTGCAATAGAAAGATGAGTCAATATAGTACAATATTCCACCATTGCCAACACAACATATTGAATTAAAAAAAAAAAAAAATGTCTCTATTATCACACATTTCACTAAATAAAATTGTCACTTTTAGATGTTTATCTGTAAAGAACTTAGAGATAAATCACATGTTGTGTATAATAAGTATGTTAACTAAAAATTGTGTAAACACTATGACCTGAACATTAACATCTTTAATTTTCATTATATTCATGTAATATAATAATAATATAAACCAACTAAGTGCTAAACCTGAAAGGGTCATATTATTATTATTATTATAATCAAAAAGAAGCGCTAAGCGAAAGGGTCATAGAGTACTCCAGGTGAATTGTGCTAAAGAAGGATTATGTAAAGGCCAGAGACAAGTGTTGTAGAAGTGAACAAGAGGCAAAGTTGACAAGGGTATTAGGGTGTGTTGTAGGTGTGAAAAAAGTAGAGTTAACAAGGGTAGTAGGGTGTGTTGTAGGAGTGTGAAAGAGGTAGAGTTAACAAGGGTATTAGGGTGTGTTGTAGGAGTGTGAAAGAGGTAGAGTTAACAAGGTAGCAGGGTGTGTTGTAGGAGTGTGAAAGAGGTAGAGTTAACAAGGGTATTAGGGTGTGTTGTAGGAGTGTGAAAGAGGTAGAGTTAACAAGGGTAGCAGGGTGTGTTGTAGGAGTGTGAAAGAGGTAGAGTTAACAAGGGTAGCAGGGTGTGTTGTAGGAGTGTGAAAAAGTATGAATTAACAAGGGTAGTAGAGTGTGGAAAATTTGTGTAATAATAGGTTTATATAAGGTAGTGTAGATGTGAACTGTTGATGTGACTCTTAAAAGATGATAAGCCACAGAACCAAAAATTCTCTATAAAGTCTTATAATCAGTAAGCATTTTAATGCCTCTTGTGCTGAGTTTAGCCTTGCACTTTCTTGTTAGGTAGCATAAAGGTAGGAGGAATACTGCCGATTGACTAGCTTCAGATTTATTGAAACACAGAGGATTCACAGCAGGCAGAGTGAGGTAGGCTGGAAGCCAGCTGCGGAAGGGAAGCTGCTGATCCTAGGGTGAGAGGCCACCAAGCGAGGACAAGGTGGTATTACCTGGAGTTGACCTGGAGAGGGTTTTGGGGTCAACACCCCCATGGCTCAGTCTGAGACCAGAACTCATGGTGGATCAGGGTCTGATCAACTAGGCTGTTACTATTGGCTACACACAAACTGATGTACAAACCACAGTCTGGTTGGTTAGGTACTGACTTATGGTGCCTGTCCAGTGCCTTCTTGAAGACAGCCAGGGGTCTATTGGTAATCCCCCTTATTTACGCTGGGAGGCAGTTGAACAGTCTTGGGCCCCGGACACTTATTGTGCTGTCTCTCAATGTACTCATGGTGTCCTTGCTTTTCATCAGGGTAATGTTACATCTCCTGCCAAGTCTTTTGTTTTCATAGGGAGTGATTTTCATGTGCAGGTTTGGTACCAATCCCTCCAGAACCTTTCAAGTGCACATTATCATGTATCTCTCTCGTCTGCATTCCAGGGAATACAGATCAAGGACCTTCAACCATTCCTAGTAATTTAGGTGCCTTATCGTACTTATGTGTGCTGTGAAAGTTCTTTGTACACTCTCCAGGTTTGCAATGTCTCCACCCTTGAAGGGGGCCGTTAGTGTACGGCAGTATTCTGGTCTAGAGAGAACAAGCGATTTGAAGAGAATCATCATAGGCTTGGCATCCTTAGTTTTGAAAGTTCTCATTATCCATCCTATCATTTTCCTAGCAGATAAAGTAGATACATTGTTGTGGCCTTCAAAGGTGAGATCCTCTGACATTATCACTCCTAGGTATGGCATCACCCTGAGTTAGGCAGGCCTATATCTCTAGGTGTCAGCAGCATAGTTCCCACAAAAAATGAACTTAGCTGGTAGGCAACATAGGCTGTCTACATTCACTCAGCCATACCCTTGTGCCATCTCGACACGACATTACAGCCGGGCAGAAAGGAAAAAACTAAAGGAATTAATCCCAGCAGGACTGGCTTTCGCTCACCCAAAAATCAAAAGTGACATAATTCTAGCAGGCCTCAAAAACTCTCCCATTCCAGTGGAAGAGAAAATAGCTTGCTCAATCAGCATAGTGGAGGATGGAGCCCGGAGATGCCAGCACTGGAACTTAAGTCATCTTCTTATGTACAGGTTGTTCACAGGGCTAGGCCATCAGGCTTGACTGCATATCCAAGGACACTGTACCATCCTCACATCTGTAAACAATGACAGCAGCATTTCCTAGGGTGTGATATGTGACATAAAAGGGCAGCACTGCCTTGACTTTAATACAGACCTTGAAATACATGCTACGTGCAACATACTTGCAGTGACATTATCCCCAAGGAGACTTATTATAACAATACTACAAGTACCCTTTTAAAACATAAAATACAGTGGACCCCCGGTTTACGATATTATTTCATTCCAGAAGTATCTTCAGGTGCCCGTACTGACCGAATTTGTTCCCAAAAGGAATATTGTGAATTAGATTAGTCCATTTCAGACCCCCAAACATACACATACAAATGCACTTACATAAATACACTTACATAATTGGTCGCATTGGGAGCTGATCGTAAACTGAGGGTCCACTGTACAGCAGGGCCCCGCTTTATGGCGTTTCGCTTTACGGTGTTCCGCTAATACGGACATTTCAAATTATGACCAAAACTCGCTATACGGCTCCTCCCACCTGTCTTTCTAATACGGTCACAGCTGCCCACCGAGTTTGTTTACATTCTCCCTGAGCACATCTCCTTATTATGTCTGGAAACTCTCCAAAATTTCAAGTGTTTTAAAGTTATTGTGTATTTTATATGTATTGTACTTGATAATTAAACTTGTGTACACCTGTACCTAAATAAACTTACACACTGTGCTGGCATGTAGGTACACATTAAAATCACTAAGTCTCTCTACTCTTGATGCAATAATAATAATAATAATAATAATAATAATAATAATAATAATAATAATAATTATAATAATAATCTCTTGGGCACATTAATGTCGCATATGATATTTTTTTCAAAATTATATAAGAAACACATTATGTAACACACAAACATGATACATGCACCCACAGTATAAAAATTTATACAAATATATACGAGATGTTTACCAAACGGTTTGTAGAAGTGTCGGAAGAATTAGGTTTTCTCTAGCCCGTCACCTGTTACTAGGGATAACTGTAGAAAAATATTCCTTTCGTATGCCTTCACTTTATAGCTATAATTCTGTACTAACTTGTACACAGTGTAAGAGTATTTGTTTCGTGATTTAATTATTATAATAATAATAAAAATATTATAGAGGTAGTAGGTTGGTAGACAGCAACCACCCAGGGAAGTACTACCGTCCTGCCAGATGACTGTGAAACAAAAACCTGTAATTGTTTTGCATGATGGTAGGATTGCTGGTTTCTTTTTCTGTCTCATAAACACGCTAGATAACAGGGATATCTTGCTACTCATACTTACACTTTGGTCACACTTCACAGACACGCACATGCATATATATATATACATACATCTAGGTTTTTCTCCTTTTTCTAAATAGCTCTTGTCCTTTTTTATTTCTTCTATTGTCCATGGGGAAGTGGAAAAGAATCTTTCCTCCGTAAGCCATGCGTGTCGTATGAGGCGACTAAAATGCCGGGAGCAATGGGCTAGTAACCCCTTCTCCTGTATACATTTACTAAAAAGAGAAGAAGAAAAACTTTATAAAACTGGGTTGCTTAAATGTGCGTGGATGTAGTGCGGATGACAAGAAACAGATGATTGCTGATGGTATGAATGAAAAGAAGTTGGATGTCCTGGCTCTAAGCGAAACAAAGCTGAAGGGGGTAGGAGAGTTTCAGTGGGGGGAAATAAATGGGATTAAATCTGGAGTATCTGAGAGAGTTAGAGCAAAGGAAGGGGTAGCAGTAATGTTAAATGATCAGTTATGGAAGGAGAAAAGAGAATATGAATGTGTAAATTCAAGAATTATGTGGATTAAGTAAAGGTTGGATGCGAGAAGTGGGTCATAATAAGCGTGTAGCACCTGGAGAAGAGAGGAATTGCAGAGAGAGAGAGAGATTTTGGGAGATGTTAAGTGAATGTATAGGAGCCTTTGAACCAAGTGAGAGAGTAATTGTGGTAGGGGACCTGAATGCTAAAGTAGGAGAAAACTTTTAGAGAGGGTGTGGTAGGTAAGTTTGGGGTGCCAGGTGTAAATGATAATGGGAGCCCTTGATTGAACTTTGTATAGAAAGGGGTTTAGTTATAGGTAATACATATTTTAAGAAAAAGAGGATAAATAAGTATACAAGATATGATGTAGGGCGAAATGACAGTAGTTTGTTGGATTATGTATTGGTAGATAAAAGACTGCTGAGTAGACTTCAGGATGTACATGTTTATAGAGGGGCCACAGATATATCAGATCACTTTCTAGTTGTAGCTACACTGAGAGTAAAAGGTAGATGGGATACAAGGAGAATAGAAGCATCAGGGAAGAGAGAGGTGAAGGTTTATAAACTAAAAGAGGAGGCAGTTAGGGTAAGATATAAACAGCTATTGGAGGATAGATGGGCAAATGAGAGCATAGGCAATGGGGTCGAAGAGGTATGGGGTAGGATTAAAAATGTAGTGTTAGAGTGTTCAGCAGAAGTTTGTGGTTACAGGAAAGTGGGTGCAGGAGGGAAGAGGAGCGATTGGTGGAATGATGATGTAAAGAGAGTAGTAAGGGAGAAAAAGTTAGCATATATGAGAAGTTTTTACAAAGTAGAAGTGATGCAAGGAGGGAAGAGTATAATGGAGAAAAGAGAGAGGTTAAGAGAGTGGTGAAGCAATGTAAAAAGAGAGCAAATGAGACGAGTGGGTGAGATGTTATCAACAAATTTTGTTGAAAATAAGAAAAAGTTTTGGAGTGAGATTAACAAGTTAAGAAAGCCTAGAGAACAAATGATTTGTCAGTTAAAAATAGGAGAGGAGAGTTTATTAAATGGAGAGTTAGAGGTATTGGGAAGATGGAGGAATATTTTGAGGAATTGTTAAATGTTGATGAAGATAGGGAAGCTGTGATTTCGTGTATAGGGCAAGGAGGAATAAATCTTGTAGGAGTGAGGAAGAGCCAGTTGTGAGTGTGGGGAGGTTCGTGAGGCAGTAGGTAAATGAAAGGGGGTAAGGCAGCCGGATTGATGGGATAAAGATAGAAATGTTAAAAGCAGGTGGGGATATAGTTTTGGAGTGGTTGGTGCAATTATTTAATAAATGTATGGAAGAGGGTAAGGTACCTAGGGATTGGCAGAGAGCATGCATAGTTCCTTTGTATAAAGGCAAAGGGGATAAAAGAGGAGTGCAAAAATTATAGGGGGATAAGTCTGTTGAGTGTACCTGGTAAAGTGTATGGTAGAGTTATAATTGAAAGAATTAAGAGTAAGACGGAGAATAGGATAGCAGATGAACAAGGAGGCTTTAGAAAGGTAGGGGGTGTGTGGACCAGGTGTTTACAGTGAAACATATAAGTGAACAGTATTTAGATAAGGCTAAAGAGGTCTTTGTGGCATTTATGGATTTGGAAAAGGCGTATGACAGGGTGGATAGGGGGCAATGTGGCAAGATGTTGCAAGTGTATGGTGTAGGAGGTAGGTTACTGAAAGCAGTGAAGAGTTTTTACGAGGATAGTGAGGCTCAAGTTAGAGTATGTAGGAAAGAGGAAATTTTTCCCAGTAAAAGTAGGCCTTAGACAAGGATGTGTGATGTCACCGTGGTTGTTTAATATATTTATAGATGGGGTTTGTAAGAGAAGTAAATGCGAGGGTCTTGGCAAGAGGCGTGGAGTAAAAGATAAAGAATCACACACAAAGTGGGAGTTGTCACAGCTGCTCTTTGCTGATGACACTGTGCTCTTGGGAGATTCTGAAGAGAAGTTGCAGAGATTGGTGGATGAATTTGGTAGGGTGTGCAAAAGAAGAAAATTAAAGGTGAATACAGGAAAGAGTAAGGTTATGAGGATAACAAAAAGATTAGGTGATGAAAGATTGAATATCAGATTGGAGGGAGAGAGTATGGAGGAGGTGAACGTATTCAGATATTTGGGAGTGGACGTGTCAGCGGATGGGTCTATGAAAGATGAGGTGAATCATAGAATTGATGAGGGAAAAAGAGTGAGTGGTGCACTTAGGAGTCGTGGAGACAAAGAACTTTGTCCTTGGAGGCAAAGAGGGGAATGTATGAGAGTATAGTTTTACCAACGCTCTTATATGGGTGTGAAGCGTGGGTGATGAATGTTGCAGCGAGGAGAAGGCTGGAGGCAGTGGAGATGTCATGTCTGAGGGCAATGTGTGGTGTGAATATAATGCAGAGAATTCGTAGTTTGGAAGTTAGGAGGAGGTGCGGGATTACCAAACTGTTGTCCAGAGGGCTGAGGAAGGGTTGTTGAGGTGGTTCGGACATGTAGAGAGAATGGAGCGAAACAGAATGACTTCAAGAGTGTATCAGTCTGTAGTGGAAGGAAGGCGGGGTAGGGTCGGCCTAGGAAAGGTTGGAGGGAGGGGGTAAAGGAGGTTTTGTGTGCGGGGGCTTGGACTTCCAGGAGGCATGCATGAGCGTGTTTGATAGGAGTGAATGGAGACAAATGGTTTTTAATACTTGACGTGCTGTTGGAGTGTGAGCAAAGTAACATTTATGAAGGGATTCAGGGAAACCGGCAGGCCGGACTTGAGTCCTGGAGATGGGAAGTACAGTGCCTGCACTCTGAAGGAGGGGTGTTAATGTTGCAGTTTAAAAACTGTAGTGTAAAGCACCCTTCTGGCAAGACAGTGATGGAGTGAATGATGGTGAAAGTTTTTCTTTTCGGGCCACCCTGCCTTGGTGGGAATCGGCCAGTGTGATAATAATAATATAAGGTAAAAGTTTCACAAACTCTTACAAATGTACATGAATGAACTAAAACTGGACACGTATTAATACCGTCTATTTCGCCTGACCAAGTGATCGTCCACAACCTGTTCAATTTGTTTGTTTACGCTGTCTGAGCTCGGTGTATCATTAAATGTTGTATATTACGTTAATATACACATTTTCATTAATCCATCCGTGATATTTTTTTCAAAATTATATAATAAACACGATACATAACATAAATACATAACATGTGTAGAGAACCTAGGATAACCCAAAAAAGTCAGAGTGACTTACTTTCATTGCCTTCACTCAGAGCATCATTTCTTTTCAAAATGATGTTACATGAGAATGGGAGTGTTCTTCTTTATTTATTCTACCGTAT